GGGGGCCTCTGACCAGACAACCATCAGGAGCAGGGTGAGCACAATGGGGGTACCCAACTTTCTTAATCTTCTTTTAAACCCACTATGAATGCCTCTTTGAAGCATTAAGAAACTGAAGCTGAAAATTGCAACTAAACTCTTAATCAAGTCACAACATTTGGTCTGAAAGTAGTTTTACCACTGAAATCGGGAAAAGAATCATCAAATCCAACTAGATCATTTATAACACTATCTCTCCCTCCTTTCTCTCTCTCTCTCTCTCTATCTAATTGGAGTGGGTGTCTTCAGGAGAAAGCAATTTCAGTCTGTAGTGTTTGTCTATTAAATAACAGTACTTCATAACATCAAGTTTTCTACGTAATGCATGAGACATTTATAGTTTTCTCATAGATATCTGCCCCCAATAGCCTTGTTTTGTGAACTCTTCCAAAGTTAGCTTAATTATCGGGTAGGAGTCTCATGAATTGTTGATCAACTGTTGTGGTTCCTAAGATCTCAATGCTGTAAATAACATTTGATACACTTGCTAATGGTAAATAACATTTGATACACTTGCTAATGGATGGAATGTTGTTGAGATCAATGACATTTTGTTGTACTAACAGATAAATGTAAGTATATCTAAAAAGTCTTATAATTAGGGCCCCGCAAGGATTTGCGGGTGCCCTATAGTAATCACTCTGTCTGTCCGTCCGTCTGTCCGTCTGTCACTCTTCCGTCCACAAATTTTCTGTTTTTTTTCTAATAACTTTTTTTATGGTTGCCCAATCAAGTTCAAATTTGGTATGGTAATTCAGTAGGCAGAAATACATATTTTGATGCTAAGTTTGGTTCTCTATGTCTTCTGGTTTGGAGCTGGGGTGGTGGGGTAGATTCCTTAACTATGCATAAGAATGAATGGGCAACTTTTTTTATGGTTGCCCAATCAAGTACAAATTTGGTATGGTAGTTCAGGAGGCAGAAATACATATTTTGATGCTAAGTTTGGTTCTCTATGTCCCCTGATTTGGAGCTGGGGTGGTGGGGTAGATTCCTTAACTTTATATAAGAATGCATTGGCAAAGAGAGATAACTGCTGAAGATGTTTCCATTGTAAACTGAATGCTGCTATGAGTCCCTTGCGATTAATTAGCTTTCCTCCTGAAGAAAATCCAGAGCATTATCTTTATCTGTCACATTGAGATGAATTACCACCTCTGTCTGCAAATGAAAACACTCTGAAATGTGGATTAAATATAAATTTTTATAATTTATTTTTGTTTAATAGTTATGATTTCATTGAATTCTAAAAACAAGAAATAGATTAAAGAAGATTTTTTGATTTACTTTTTTCACTTTATCAGTCAAGGGCATCATGGAAACAAGTTATTTTTGAAATAATTTGTTTCAGTTACTAATTATCAACATTTTGGGTTATCTTCCCCTGATTATGCTTTTCTTCAGTAACTTATTCCTGTTATTGATACTTTACTACTCATTATTGTAAACCTACTGGTGTCTGAAAAGCTTTATTCATGCTGTGCTTGGGTTATTAAGTAGAGGGAAGATGCTAATGACAGTAAAAGTAATCTATCTTTCAGATTTAACACATTGAAATCCAACAAATTATAACTTAAGTTATTTCATCCTTAACCCACCTCACTTTAAAACTCTTGCACAAAAACGTACAGCTTTGCACAAAAAATGTAAGACATAGAGATTGTAACCCAAAGATTTTAGGAAAATTAGTCTCAATGTTTGACCTCTGAAATGTTAATGAAATGGAATTATTTTTCCTTGAAGATATCATCTTATTTTTTTAAATATCATTGTATCTATTTAGGAGATATTAACTCTGTTGAGTCTATTAAAAGAAGTACATATATTTACAACTTTCTCATCCTTAAATCATCTTAAATCAGTAGCAAAAACAAAAAATGAATGTTTTTTGACAAAACTGATAGGCATTCTACTTTTTAAGCATTAACTCAAATGAGTTACCTTTTTGTTTAGTAATAAATAAGTGAAGTAACCTAAACAAGTTATTTAAAAAAATAACTTGATTCCATCATGCCCCTGACTGTTTATGTTAATTCAAGAATATTATTAATTTTTAAGATAGTTGTATAAAAACCCCATTCTATCATTAATACTGAAAAAGTTCTTATTGTAACTTTAGAAGAAAATGATGAGAGAGGTACATTTAATCCCTTGGGATTCATTATCTAGCCTGCTGCAGAAAATTTAGTAGGCTTTTCTTTATCTGACACTTTAAGATTAATGAAAACCTTTGTCTGCAACTGCTGTTTGTTTGAAGTTAAGGTCAAGCCTTCATGATATTTGCATTCATTGAAGGCTGGCATTTTATACAACACAAGCTTCATAATTGTTTAAATATACATTTAATGTTAATTTGTTCTTTACTGCCAAATGTAAATACAAGGATATTATTTTCAGGTTTTTGAATATCAGGAATTATCTTGAAATTTTAAGAGTACAGTTGCTGTTGCTTATTCTTCGTACATTTTTTAATCATTCCGTAAGCTGCACCCTATTAATTCTACCCCATGGCGGGGCCCTTGCTGACTGGTCAGTTTTCTAGTTCATTATTGAATGCATGAATTTTATAAAAACTAATTGTTTTAGAGCCCATTTCAAAGTTTTTGTCACCCTGTCATAACAAATCACACTTCAAATTCAAACTTTTAATGATTGTGAAAACAATGTTAAATAAGTGTCTATATATTTTGTAATATTTATCTATTAAAGATGTACGTGCTATCTCCTTAATCAGTTAATGATTATATCATTATTAATAAATTTTAATTCAAAACGGTGAAAAATATAACCTTTGATGATAGAAATTTCCAACTTTTTCACAGAATTACAAGAAAATGATCTGCCTGACGGATACGTATTGGAAGTTATTTTTTCGATCATAATGATACATTCTTTAATACCGATATGACGTATTGAATGTTCCATATATTGATAGAGCACTAAAAATAAGAAACTGGGAGACCCAACAGTTTATTCCTTTATTTTGGTAAACTTTCCATTCTACTTTGTAGTCTTTCTTTGGATCGCTGACAGATACAGTCAAGTCTGTTGTAACACCCTCCTGGCTCACTGACTTGGTCAGAACCGTGAAAAGATCCTCCAAAAATGGGGAATCCCCTACAGAGGTCAGTAGTTTAAAGGTACTTTTATAAGATTATTCATTCTTGTAAATTTAAAACATTTTTTGTGGATTGGTAGATAAATACTGATAATACAGTAGTCATGCTAAACAGCCAAGTTTAAGGGAGGAATAACTTTGATTCATTATAAATGTAAATTGGTATTTGCATGAGGTTTACAGAATACATTTTAATATCATAGAGAAGAAAAATTGATTTGCTGTAAGTGTTGATCATTGTTAGCTATTAAAGTGTTTTACTGTATTACAGTTGAGTATGATAGTATGTTTATTTATGACATATTCACATATATCATATAAAATCAAAAATTATCTTAATTTTAAAGAACACCATATTTGCTCCTGAGAGCACCTAGGGTGCAAAGAAAATTGGAAAGGGATGATTTGTAGGGAAGCTCATTGAATTTCGGTACTTTATGTGACAAATATTTATACATTATAAATACATTATAAATAGAGAACAATACATACCCTTTTCCATATCACATCCTATATTAGCCCGAGACACCAATATCAGCCAGAGGGCTGAAGGCCCGAGGGCTGATACAGGATGTGATGTGGAAAAGGGTATGTTTTATTATAATTATTACATACTTAGTAATAAAATACAGAACACAATGAGTTGAGAAAAAATAAGTAAATAATCATGCACAGACTTCTTACAATGTACACGGTCTGTTGTCTCATACAGTTTTGGTTTGTTTCTACATGTACTTCTATTTCAAATGTCCCCGATCCGTAATTTGAAAGTGATCAATTAATTGTCAATTAGGTTATCATTACATTCAAAAAGTTAAACTTAAGAGAACTATGTAACCCCCAAAATATGTGTATGATCACAAGTACTGTTTTTAGCTCTACTGGTCAGAGACCAGAAGAGCTTATGCGATAGTAATGCGTCCGGCGTCCGGCCGTCTGTTTGTAAACAATTTTTCAAAACGCTACTCCTCCTACAATTTTAGTCTGATTTCAATATTACTTGGCACACAAGTAGACTACACTAAGATACATAGAATAGTGCATCGGTTTTTAATTTCAATGAACGGTGTTGCCATGGTTACTAAAAATAGAATTCTCTGTGAAATTCCTTTAAAACACTACTCCTTCTACAGTTTTGGTCTGATTTCAATATAACTTGGCACACAGGTAGACTTCACTAAGATACATGGAATAGTGCATCGGTTTTTAATTTTGATGTTCGGTGTTGCCATGGTTACTAAAAATAGAATTTTCTGTGAAATTCCTTAAAAACGCTACTCCTTCTACAGTTTTGGTCTGATTTCAATATAACTTGGCACACAAGTAGACTACACTAAGATACATAGAATAGTGCATCGGTTTTTGATTTCAATGAATGGTGTTACCATGGTTACTAAAACTAGAATTCTCTGTGAAATTCCTTTAAAACACTACTCCTTCTACAGTTTTGGTCTGATTTCAATATAACTTGGCACACAAGTAGACTACACTAAGATACATAGAATAATGCATCGGTTTTTGTTTTCGATGAACGGTGTTACCATGGTTACTAAAAATAGAATTTTCTGTGAAATTCCTATAAAACTCTACTCCTTCTACAGTTTTGGTCTGATTTCAATAAAACTTGGCACACAAGTAGACTACACAAAGATCATTAGAATAGTTCATCGGTTTTTGATTTCGATGAATGGTGTTGCCATGGTTACTAAAATAGAATTCTCTGTGAAATTTCTTTAAAATGCTACTCCTTCTACAGTTTTGGTCTGATTTCAATATAACTTAGCACACAAGTAGACTACACTAAGATACGTAGATTATTCCATCGGTTTTTGATTGCAATGAACGGTGTTACCACGGTTACTAAAAATAGAATTTTCTGTAAAATTCCTATAAAACTCTACTCCTTCTACAGTTTTAGTTTGATTTCAAAATAAGTTGGCACACAAGTAGACTACACAAAGATACATAAAATAGTGCAATGGTTTTTGATAAGTACAAACCAGTAGAGCTACAGTCTCGACAGAGACTTCTGGTTTGAGGTTTAATTTACTAAGGGTGTGATATTGATACGTATCAGCCCTGCAAATCCATATCAACCACGCAAATCCATATCAGCCCTGCAGGGCTGAATTACGGCTATTGTGACGTCAGCCATATCGCATATGCAAAAAACCTGTATTTAGATATATTTGCATGTTTCTTGATATTCTTGGTATACATAGGTTCAGATAAACTTTTAAAAGTAAATCAATACATGTATTTGATCTTTAAGGGCTGAGAAGAGGTGACTATCTTAAATTTGGCACAAATTATTGTTGATAATTGTTATTAATATTAAGCTGTGTGTAATTTTTACAGGAGAAAGGTAGGGAAGAAAAAGAGATATGTTCAAGTAATAGTTCCAACCTGAAACCCAGAACAGCAGAATATGGTCAGCTGCCTAGTAACTCAGTACCGCCCAGAACTGACACATTTAGGGGGTTTACATCAGGATCCCCAGTGTCGGGGAACAATTATACCTTTGAAGGTAATTATTTTGAAGTACAATCATTGTTCCTATATGTTTGCTTTGTATGATCAATTTGTTGAAATAATTATAAGCTTCATACCTAAATCATATCTCTGGAGTTGACAGTACTTGATTTACCACCTGCCATACTGTATCGTGATATACACGTATTTCTCTTTTGAACAGTTGTCAGTAAGAAAAATGAATCTATGAATGTGTATCCCTCCAATGTGTCACAATATAAAGAGGAACCAGCACAGGTCAGAGAACCAGTATCCGTTGAGGTCGTACAGAATGGAGGAGAGGGAGAAATGGAGCATTCGATGGAACCTCCCAGTGTCAGTAAGTACTAGAAGGAGACTCTCTCTGATCAGGACATTGGTTTGATTTTTGCCCATTTTAATGTTATAATACACCATAATCACTTCTGTAAATTGTATTGTAGATATTAGTCAAATTCATTTTCCATGAATTCCTCTTGCACAAAATTCTGACGTATAATGTGAAGAAAAATTTAACATTTCTATTTTAATTTTAGAATTGATACAACACCAAAACAGAAAACCTGCTGTGTCCAGGATTTGATTCATGGCAATCAGATGAGGTAATTTAAAAACTGTAACTGCATGACTATTTTAATGAAAAAATGGCTTTTTAACATTTCATATCAAGTGTTTTAACTTTTTTTAGCTATTTTATTTGTTTTTTTTTTTTAAATATCAGCCTTTACTTGTATTTTCAAAGCTAGATTAAAAGTGCAATCATGTTCTGGAAGTTTGATTGTAGCTTTTTTTGTCACTAGAGAAGACAGCATATGTCACCCTTTTACAGTACAACACCAAAATCAGCTTCTGCTGAAAACCTGCTGTGTGTGTACTAGGTATAACAAAAATTTATTTGGGATGGATTAATTTGATGTTATTTTTTATTTAAGACGGCACATCATGATGAGGTAATTTAAAAACTAATAGGCCTAGGATTATCAAACTTTGTCAACTATTTTAACGGTGTGTCGCGCAAAAAATGGCTTTTTATAAGATGCTATGGCCAAATATGGAAAAATGTTCATAGTAAACTATTAGACCTAGAACTATCAAACTTGGCAAATGTAAACTAGAAGGTTTGATCAAGGTCACTGTGACCTTTAATTTAAGTGAAATTTTTTAAAAAATAAGTCTTTTAAATTTTGAATTTTATCCTAAAAAATGCAAATTTTTTTTTTTTAAAAAAGTGTTAAATCAAGAAAAATATCAGCCTTTATCTATAACAGATATTATGTATGTTAAGAGAAAAGCTATGATGTAAAAAGTGCAATCAGAAAATTGCATGTCAAATTAGAGAGTTTGATTGTATGTGCCTTTGGGAATTTTAAGCCTTTGATTCACTAAGTTTTAAAATGATTTTGAGAAAAGTAATGCTAATTTGATATTGCATTATAAACTAATCTAATATTATATAATATTATTAATTTAAAAAACTAATTTCATATGTCACCCTTTTACAGACATTAAATGTTAAAAAAAAAAACATGTTTTAAAAATATTTTTGGAGGAGCTTTATCCAGTCAAAGATTAATTAAAGTCAAAGGATAGCTAGCATCTTCTTATCTGTGTCCCCAGATTTGGTATGTCATTTTCAGCCTTTTATTTTCAAAATTAATTTGGTTTAAATTGCTGTACTAATTTGATCTGGTTTAATTTGAGCATTTGACTGGACTTAGTAAAGTCATGTGTACTACACCACAGGTATAACAAAAATTTATTTGGGAAATGGAGGTTTACATATCTGGGATATAAGTTAATAATTTTTTTATCACTGTGGCGTGGCACTTTATTTACATATTTAAAATTTTACTTTACAATGCTTAGAAATAAGATGCAAATAGAAATTATGTCTAGACCACACTTACACTGTTAAACCTTTTCATTTTATGCAATTTGGAAGATCCTTTTGTGGAATGTATCAGTAGATCTAGTTAATTCAAGTCCAATTCATACCTTTAAGTATGGGACTTGGAATCATCCAACTTTGTTACAAATCTCTCCCAAGATGAGACCTACCCTAAAAGACTTCCTGACCAAATACCAATGAATATGGGCCTTAATTAGACAAAAATGATGTCCTTCTATATATAATTATTGCTCAATTACAACAGAAAATATCTTCAACTGATATTGAGAACTATTTACAAACTTTATTACTTTTGATGCAAAACAATGGAATTAGTCTGAAACTTGTTTGCTTGCATTCATACAATTGTAGATGGGTTATCTATTTCAGAAATATCCTTGTCCTGTGCGACAGAAAATACAACCAAAGACTAATAGTCAAGAGTCTACATCAACAGCGAAAAGAATCTTAGCAACTCTCCAAAAAATGTCAACACCCCTGAATGTAAGTATCTAGGTAATTCTTGTATTTTTGTCAAGCTTTTACTTTTCATATACATATGTGTTAATACTCATCATGAAAAGCCCTGTACCCAGCCTTTAATTCATATTTATAAAGTTGTCAAAATTTTAAGATTATCTTCATGTTTTGCTGCATTTCAAACTCTGACTGTATTTTGTATCTATGTTTTCTAGGATGCCAGAAAAATTCCATTTGAAGACACTGTGCTTTTTGATTCACAAACTCCAGTGAGTGTGTTTTAACAATTTTATTAATTTTTTTTAACGTTTAATTCACATAGTAAAAAAATAAAGTCATATTTTACATGCTCATTTAAAGATATTGAAAAGGTCACTGGATTGTTGCATCCACTCTACATCTCTAATTGATTTCTTTCAGTGTGAATATTAAATGATATGTCAGACATCACATTCTCTGTTTACATTGTGTGGTGTTTCACAGACCAAGAAAAAGTCTCTGTTTGTTACTTTTATTACTCCTTTAATGCTGTTTAGGTTGCACCTCGAGGTCCACCAAGGCGACAGTTAACTACACCACTGGCCGCATCAGTGACAAAGAATCGCCAGAGAATAAGACTCAAAGAAACAGAGGTACACTATATTCTGTATCTCTGCATTTATTTCTGTTTAGTTCACATGAATTTGATCGTTTGTAATTTGGCTGTCATCAAATGTACACTCAATCTCTGTGAAAAAATGTTTAGTTACGACAAATGTCTGTTTAATTTTCTTGAGATTCAATTTATTCATAGTGAGCCATGCTTTTATTGCTTTAGTAGTAATGCATATGACATTTTTCATGAAGGTTATTAATTCATGGGTCTCACCATACTTTGAAAACAATGAAAATTAAACCTCCATGAAATTTTTGATTTCACAGTAATTTTTTTTATAAACATACATGTTGCTTTAAAGTTTTTAAAATTTATTTTCAGCCTGCAAAATGTCAAGAAGAATTGCCAACAGAAACAAAATCCAAGTAAGAAAAAAGTTGTTGACATTTGAGACATATCATTTTTACTTTTATGGAGAAGACCTATTTTCCATTTTAGAACTATCTTCCATCAAATCAAATACATGTACATGTAACTTTATTAAATTGAAATCTAATATGTTACACATCTGTGAAAGTGTGCATGTTGTACGCTATATTAAAACTTTTTTAAAACAAGACATTCAAACTTGGTTTATTTTGGATGTTGATAAGTGTAGGTCTATAGATCTCCAGATAGCAATGAAAATATTTATTTCTTGCATGAATTGATTCAATAATTCTGTGATTTTCAGTTTTGTATCTGACAGTTCCTATTCAGCTGGTGGCAAATTGAAAGAAAAAAAATTCTCACAGCATATTTCTAAGAGAGGAAATTTTTATGATGAAGAGGTATGAGAAGCTTGGTAGTTTTAAAGAGATAAAATGTCATTTTTAAACATCATGAATATTTGTGTATAATTTGTGTAATATAGTCTAAGATTTTATAATTTCTTATTAAGGCTGAGTTACCAAATTTAAGGACAGAGTTTACTCTCCCAGTTGATAATATTACTGGAATGAAATTTGGCATTTTGGACAAGGAAAATGGGAACAAGGATAAAGGACAAAGAAATGCCACAGATGGTGTCTTTACATTTTCTTCACCAGTTCAAAAGGGAGAGATATTGAATACTACTTCACCAGTGCCAAAAATGGTAATCAATAGCAACAGCTAAGTACCTTTAAAAGCTTAGGAAGGGGGAATGCACAATTAATCCACACATACATGTGTATAAACCTCTCTGACAGTAGAATTGTTAACCTCGTCCATTGCCTCATTATTTTTACAAGGTCTCATTTCAATGTGAGCTTGACATTGTTTTGGACCCAATTAACCATACTACATCTTTGTTGACATCATTTACTGTTGTATACAAAATCATTGTGAAATCAGATTTTATACATTGAACAAGAAGGTCTGTGGATGGATAAGGTTTACAATACTTAGGAAGAAGGAATTTTAAAAAAAATAAAAAATCCACAAATGTTTAAGTAGATTTGGACTTCCTGGTCTAGTGAGTGATTTTTCTTTGTAGAATTTCACCTTCAGTTCCCCCATCAAAGTCAACAGTCCTCAGACAGCGGTCAGTCAGCCGATCAAGAGTGTGGGAGAGGTCAAGGCCACTGCAGAGCATGTATTTCAACCCTCAACCCTGAAACCTCATACAGGTAGAGCTGCATGTTTATCTATATGACCTATACTACATGTATGTTCTCATCAGCACAGGGTGGTTAAGAAGTTGCAGTATACTTGGATACATGTATGTGTCCATATATTGTTTTTTTCATACATAGATACATGTATGTGTCCATATGTTGTTTTTTTCATACATTGTAAAAAGAAAATATTTAAACACAGGTGACTAAAAAGTAGATACTGCTGAAATATAAAATGACGGAGAGTCTAATAAATTCTGAAATTCCTACCTGTACTATATTTTGGTTCCATTTCAACTAGTTAAAGATTTGGTTGAAGGCTTCTTCTGTTCGAAAAAAAAAAAAGGAATATTTCACCTCAGATAAAGTTTGCATCTTCACAAACACTTGTTGTTAGGTTGAAGTTGAAGTGATACATATATTTTTCAACAACTGTATTTTGAACGTCATTGATTTTGAACCTGTTTGAGGTGAAATGGAGCTACTTCAGAGTGAACACATCTTAAGAATATTCTCTCTCAACAGCTACCTCCAATATACTGGTATCCCTGGTTTTCAGTCCTGTGTTAACTGCTTTTCTAGACTTGAAATAATTTCAGATATATCGTCTCGTATCCTGTTTTCAACTGTATTGTATTTTCGACCTATTTTTCCCAATCTGCTTCCTGTGCAGATTCCGCACAGTAGATCATTATTTTCGGTTGGTACACTTAGAAAAATACCTTTGAAGCACAACTGTGGTGAAAATATCCAAAATAATTAATTCAACGGAATTTCCTCGAAGGTTTTAGTCCAATGTCAGAAACTCTAGTCTTTTTACTAATGCACATTTTATCTGTTGATTAATTAAGGTCGTAATTGGTAAATTATAAAGATTTTTTGATGACATTTTTCCGAAAGAAAATTAAGATCTCTGTCAAAGAGATGCATGAATATTGAAGTGAATGGGTGGATCAAACAATTTTTTTTTTCTTCCTTAAATATGAGCGCTTTCTTACAGATTTTTACTGAAAAATGCAACGTAATTTCATTGATTTTTTTTGGAAATGCACAGCTACTGACAGATGGGTTCAACCAACGAATAAATCTATTTGCAACCAAAATATGCAACTTGTTCAATGTTTTTTTGAAAGACAGACAATGCAACTTGTTCAATGTTTTTTTGAAAGACAGACAATCGTATTTTTATTGTTTGGAATATCCAATGGATATTTATAGCCAGTACTGATTTGGCCTTGATACTATATTTAGGTCGAAAACACAAGACGTTTATATTTTTGTAAGGAAAACTGTACCCTCTCCATATTATGGCATATAAATAAAATAAACACAAAACTGCAATTTGGGTTATAACATTTTATTTATAGATACATATGCTAACATTTTAAGCCCTTATTTTTTCAGATTCTGTAAAGTTTACAATAAATTAATAAATAACATCTAAATAGGTCGAAAATACAATACGCCAGGATATGTGGAATTTGGCAGCATTTACTCAGGTACTGATAGTATTCCCAGAAATTTCTGAGAAGATTCTTGATATACCGTAATTTCGGAGAACTTATAAACTTGCTGCATCTGCCCTAAAGATTAGCATACATTGCATTGAACTTGTCCATGAGCAAAGATATGATTATCAAAAGGAAGTAGAGCTTCATCTCCCTTGTGCCCAGATCCTCTTCATGCAAGCTTCTTCAACATCCTCATATCAGTAAAATAGTGCAGGACAATGATTGTGAAATCAAAAAAATTGTTAATGGCAAACACCTGATAATTAGGACCCCTTTGTGGTAATGTAACAACTACCTAATTATAAGCTGCATTGTAATGCAGGCCACCTAGTGGTGATGTAATAATCAGCTGATGATAATGTAATGACAGCCAGTGGTAATGTGATGAGATTACTAAATGTACATGGTGGTAATGTTAACACCATGAGTCTGGTGGTTATATGAGGATGACCTGTTAATGACATTCTTCAAGATTTCTAGTCATATCCCATCATTTTGATGAAGGTTACAACTGATTATAACTCATGAGTATTTGCCATCAGTTACCCACAGTCACAATTCCTGATAAATATAAATATTAAGTCAGCCCTAAGGTATTTTTAATCAGATTTTTTGCTGCAGTGGAATTTAAATATATCCAGTTCCTTATGGCTTGAAATATTAGTGGTGCTTTCTTTTAGTGATGAAACTTTCATGACACAGAAACTTGACATGTGTCTTTTTATTTCAGGTCTGAACTTGAGCTGTGCTCAGGACTTTCAGTCTTCCTGATTAAGGTCTGTTCTGAAAACCAGGTCCTGCAGGAAATTCTGTCTCTTCCTTGTTGATGAGAAGTGAAATTTTGAATAACTGAAATGTGAAAAACACTGATTAAGTGTGATATTTCACAAGAATACAGAAAGTGCCAGCTTTAATGTCAGATTCATTTCAATATTCCTTTTTCAAAAGGACCAACTCTGTGTTCTGAAACATGCTGAGAAAAGTCCTGGGATCAGCAGTGTTTTATTCTAGTGTTATTCTTGATGTGCAGTGCTACTGAAGTACAGTTGAACTTGGGTATCTCAAATACCGGTATGAATAGCTTGAGTCCCTGAATATGCTGAAGTGAATTGGAAGTCCTCAAGTACCCACTGATTTGACCGCAATATCTCAAATCTTTAGATATCTTGGTTATCTTTGGGCCCCATCAAGTTTGAGAAAAAGAGATTTGACTATATACATGTACTTCATCATGTTCATGTATTTCAAGGGTGTCTGTCTTCTTTATATGAGAATCTCTCTTTTCTAGTTTGAACAAGTTTACGTTAAGTAAAATGTGGGTTGGTTGTGGAAAGTGGACAAGGAGAGTACTAGTTGTGCTGTCACAGTGCTGGGTGTGTCTCAGTTTTGAAATTCTACTATATAAATTTAGCCAGCCTGGTCTGTCTTGTACATGCAGAGAGGGTAAAGACAGAAACTGTTGATGAGAGTTGACTGGCCACATCTGGATAGGAGTTGTGTCAGTTGTTCTTTACTGTGCCTTGTTTCATTAGTTATTTTAATTGCTGGGATGGGGGTTGAGCATTTTAATGTCAATCTTTACTAATTATTGTACTGATGTTGAAAATCCACATATAAATGACTATAAATAAAAATATTTTAGCCACTAAGTTGAAAATAAATTCATCCAAAAAAAAAAAAAGAACAGATCAACTCTTTAGTGGTGAAAATTGAATTGCTAGTATATGGTTACCTTTTTGATTTTTTTTTCACCAAAAAGAATACAATAAAAAATTTCTTCAAATAATGTGCATAAAATTTGATTGATTAATAATAAAGGCAAATCAAAAATCATTGATTAATAATAAAGGCAAAGCAAAAATCAAGAGAGAGAGAGATGAGAGCATTTAATTTATTTATTTTTGTTCAATCTATAATGTAATAGGTTACAACCTGGAGTTTTATCAAATAAAGAGATTAAAAGTTTTTATTTGTCACTTCTTGCATTATGTATTTAGCATTTGTTGATGTTTGTTTGTTAAAGTTTTGAATCAATTTTAATTAAGTTTCAAGTCTACTAATTAAATTACCAATTCTGATATAAAGCACAAAACTATTGAATTTAATTGACCCTCAGTCTTTTATGACACAATTCACAGTCAAGTTAAGCACCTCCTACTTTTGCACTGCTTCCACTGTATCCCTGGACAGAATTAAAATGTATGTACATTCAAAGTCTCATGTGAGTGTGTTTATTACCTTTGTAAGATGATGTATTCAAACATTAAGTCATTTATAGGTCAGGTTTCACTAAGAATGTTCATCATAGTTTTCTGCATAAAATGCAGAACACAATCTTGCCTATCTGACAATAAGTCAGTTTGAAAGTCTTTGACAAACAAGCCTCCTCCATTTTTTCAAATCAAAGCCAATGTATCTGAATTTAATATTAAAATTCAGACCAACCAGTCAGACCAATCAGTCCAACCAGCAATTTTGACCATTGTATACAGTATGCTATTTGACTAGTTTTGACAATACAGTCACAAAACTAAGAATTCAGACATTCACAAATTACCTTAAGTCACCATCAATGTTATGATACACATCATGATTTATTTTGATGATATGTCATGTAACTGGATTTACTTTATCAAAGTCTCAAGGCCAACAAATAAAATAAACATTCACAGAATATTTTCAGGAGCAAATGGGAAAATAATTAAATAAAATGCAGGTTTTATATTAGAGAATAAAGTTCATGTCTTCATGTCATATACCAGTTAAGGTCATGCAAGAGGTTTGTTACCAATGGTCATGATAAAACATACAAATTGATATGAATTTCTTGGACTTGACAATTCATAAAAATCTGCATCCAGATTTGATATTTCTGTGTATTATCTCCTATCATACAGAATTAGATATTATTTCAGGTTTTAGTACTTGTATAAGGTCACCCCCTAAATAAGCCAGAAGTGTAAAGAAGTCTTTCGCAAGGGGAGATAATCAAGAAAAGACAAAAATAGCATTCAAGAACCACTGTAAAGCTGAAACTTTGTGGAAGCATCCTGGTATAATGTAGATTCTAAATGTAGAATCAAATTTTTATATAGAAATATATTATCTCAGAGAATAAAATTCATGTCTTCATGTCATATACCAGTTAAGGTCATGCAAGAGGTTTGTTACCAATGGTCATGATAAAACATACAAAGTTTTATATGAAATATATATGAATTTCTTGGACTTATTGGAAGACAATTCATAAAAATCTGCATCAAGAGTTTTATATGAAATATATAGGAAAAATTTCTGTGTATTATCTCCTATGTTACAGAATGGGAAGTTTTATATAGAAATATATATTTCAGAAAATTTTAGAACCACTTGTATAGATTCTAAATTGCAATAATGTAGGGCGGGGCCACTCAAAGTTTTATATAGAAATATATAGGAAAAATTTATTCAAGAACCACTGGGCCAGAAGAAGTATATTTTCTGGGGTAGTGAGAGAGACCCCCCCCCAAAGTTTTACATAGAAATATATAGGAAAAATCTTTGAAAATCCCCAGGAACCACTGGGCCAAAAAAAACAAGGGCTACATTTCAAAATGTGTAAATTTGTAGTGGGGTAGGGTGGGGATGCATTATGTATAACAAGTGAAATGTGATATATGTATGTGAGAGAGCCCCCCCCCCCCCCAAAGGGCTACATTTGTTTAATTTAATGTGATATATGTATGTGGAGTATTTGTTTAATTTAAAATACATGTATATTTTATGCTTTGTAATTTGAGCAGAGTGGTTTAAATCCAGTATGTCTCCTGTTTGTAAGATTTGTATTGAACTTGTTACAGGTAGGACAGAGGTACCAGACAGGGAAGTCAAAAGAAAACTTCCCGTAAAAACCTGGGATTGTGATGTCTGCCTGGTTCCCAATAAAATGGAGAATGCCAAGTGTTTGGCCTGTGAATCTCCTAGATCGGGATCCCAACCGTCAACTTCAGGTAAATGTAACAAGATATGGCTGAATGTTACTCTTAGTTTTTATAGTCATAAGTAGTAAGGGTAGCCAAGAGGAAGTCAGAGTTTGCTTCTGCAATCACTGAAACATCACCCAAATGCCAATTTGAATGCCCTGAATGTTTAAGTTTTGGATTGATTAATAATTTTGTGATTTTATATCTCTTGCAATTTTAGTTCATTAATGAGAAAAGTCATTAGATGCTGATTAAGGGCTTCAGATTAAGACCTTTAAATGGCACACTGGGCCATTGAGCAGTGAGGGTTATTTTGCTAGGGTACCAACTCCTGTCTTGACTTGGTGCTTGCATTTTTAAGGTCTCATTTCAACATGTTCAAAGATTTGCTGGGAGAAGGAATAGTTGCTAATAATTTTTTTTCAACAATGGTGTGAACAATCTACCAACTCGGCAACTTTGTCAGTAAAAATGGGACATAATTTAAATTTGCTACCTTGGGAATAAACTTTAGCTTGGTGTTATTGTTCTTAACATAAATATGAATTATATACCTGGTATTGTATTTTATGTCATCAAGTAATGTGCCTATCATTATTTTAGAGAATTAAAAATATTAAAAGGAATTGATACATCTACTATGTCAAAGAGCATATAGTTTTCATACATCTAATTCAGAAGTCTATATTTTTTACAGGTTTTATGGTGAAACCAAAATCATTTTCTTTACAAACAGGATTTGTGGGTGATTCGAATGGGCCTGCAAATCCAGGAGTAAATGAATCCAGTTTGAATGGAGATGGTATCAAAAAGCCTGCCGCTGTAGAAAAACCTTTGGGAAAATTGGAAAAAGATGCATCCCCATTTGGACAAACCTTGAATTTAGATAGAAAAAGTAAATCTAGTGTAGAGGAAAACAGTGGATTTAAAATCGAGAAAACAAGTGAAAGTACAATTTTGAAAAGTTCTGGGATCATTGTAAAAGAAAATGAAAGTCCAAGAAAGAGGGCAACTTTGCCAGAAAAAACAGAACAGAAAGCTGTGAACTTTACCATACCTGCAAGTATGACGACAATTCCCAATGTTCCTGTAACAAAAGAATCTGGGGAATCTAACAAGGTAGCAGGTACTTTTACTTCGCCTTTCCTCAGTAACAGCACTGATTCTGCGACTCCAGCACCAGTGCAGTTCAATAAGATGAGCCCAATTTTTGGGGCATCGATTTCCACAATGAATAAAGGACAAACTGAAAAGAACCAGGACAGTAAGGTTTTAGCTTCTGCCCCAAGTTTTCCAGTTGTACAAAATACAACTACAAATTCTACTGTAACATTTCAATTTGGTGTAAATTCAATGAAAACTACATCAGTGACTTCACCCAATTTTCAATTTGGACAAAGCACAGCTCCAAATTCTGAAGAAAAGATTCAATTCAGTGTTAATTCATCAAAAGCTTCATCGGCAACACCCTCTTTCCAGTTTGGACAAAGTAACAGTGAAGCCCCTAAGTCTAATGCAAGCATCCAATTTGGACAAAGTAACAGTGAAGCCCCCAAGTCTAATGCAAGCTTCCAATTTAGACAAAGTAACAGTGAAGCCCCTAAGTCTAATGCAAGCTTTCAGTTTGGACAAAGTAACAGTGAAGCCCCTAAGTCTAATGCATCTTTTCAGTTTGGACAAAGTAACAGTGAAGCCCCCAAGTCTAATGCATCTTTTCAGTTTGGACAAAGTAACAGTATAGCCCCCAAGTCTAATGCACCCTTCCAGTTTGGTGCAAATTCCACAGTTACTTCATCAGCCACACTGTCCAGCTCTTTTCAATTCTCTGCAAGTGCTACTTCTGGGACCTCCATGTCAGCAAAAACAGTGCCATTGCAAGCTGCTGCTGCAAGTCTCCCAAAAGCTGTGTCCTCTCCAGGCTCAATGTTTTCAGTGTCTGGTTTTAATTCTGGCAGTCTTGGAAACACTACTGTGCCTGGAAGTCAAGGTGAATCATCAATAAACTCAAATTTTGGTTTTGCTGGTCAAGCCCCTACATTTGGAACATCAGCTTCTTTTGAAAAAGAAAAACCTGCAGGTACGCAGTGGATAAATTTCAATCTATGAAGGTTTTCAAAATTTTTAGCATTTTTGATCGAAGAGTGTCCATTGTCCATCTGCCATGTTGTTGTCTATAAAATTTTCTTCACAATTTAAACTTCTCCAAAACCATATGAATGGAAAATTGTATAAAAATCAGCAGAACACATATTGATATGTATGATTTTTCAGAAAGTGAAGATTGAGGTTTGTTTAATTAAATATTCAAATCATCTTGGCTCTGAGAACAGCCAGCAAGGCATTGAAGGTTGATCATATTGATTATTATGATATTTACCATCACCGTGAGTTTTAGTTTGGTTAGATCATGAACCTATGGAGATATATTTTGGCCATATGATAAGGTCAAAATTTGTTTTTGATAATATATAAAAGAACTTTTTTCTGAAGTCTCCTGTCAAGAACTGCAGGACTATGGTGACTGGTAAGCGTTATGGTCCCTGGGCCTTTTGTTTTTCTTAATGCCCCCAAGGTTATCTTTAATGATAATATTTTTCTTACATTTGTCTTATATTGGATTGAAAATGTTATACATGTATGTTTCCATTGATAGGTTTCAACTTTAGTTTTGGTGCATCAAAACCAAGTGGAGCTGAATCCAACTCTTTATTTCAGTTTGGTAACCAGCAGCAGGTAAATATATTAGCTTTCAGATGCCTAGGTAAAATGTGTAAATTCAAGTTTGTTCAAAGCATAACTCTAAATGAAGACAGAAAAATGGTTTACAGATATATTTTTAAAAGTACATATACTAAATACTGGACAAGACTGATTTGTAAAAAGAAAAAAAAAATCTTGTTCACATTTCATCTAAAATGCTGGAAATTCTAAACATGCAGTTAAAAGATACACATAACCTTTTGCTGCTTTGTTCTTGGTTAACTAAGAGGTATGAATATTTGTAGCCAAGCAGAACAAATGAAAATCAGCCAACATTAAATGGGGGACTGAACCCAGCTCCTCAAGGATTATTTAGCTTCAGTGCTGCACCTCAGCCAACCCCCCCTCAGCCCTCACTACCGGCTGCTACAAGTTTTAATGCTGGCCCGGCTAACCCCCCTACTGCAGGATCACCTTTCTTCAATATTGGGTAAACTGATTTTTATTGTAAAACTATATATGTGTCAAAGTTAAGCATTGACTTCTCAATTTATTGTTATAAGCTTGTCTGTGTTTTAGTGTAGAAGAGCTATTATTGTTGAATTTTGTTTATCACTTTCAAATGATCAGAGCTACATGCCAGTGGTTATTTTGTTTCAGTGCCTCGAATGATTCTGGAAGAAGGGTAAAGAAAGCTGTGAGAAAACTAAAGCGATAACTTGGTGAATCTAGTAGAACGGTGAAGATATTGAGAAAGAGGATGGCTTTTCTGGAATAGAGACCTGCAGAAGACTAAAGAGTGTAAAGCAAACTCGCGATAGCTGTGAAGCATCTAACTCACTTAAGCCAGAGGGTCATTTCAACTTCTTTAATCAAAGTGCTTATTTCTGTGTCTCTGTGTTTGTTGTCCATCACCCAAGGTGGGGTGAAGTTAAAAAATTAATTTTGTACAAATTCTGTCTTTACTCATTGACTTCTTCAGACAAACTTTATACATTACATGAAGCAGTGACTATTTTTCTAAGATGCTTGTATGTGACATAGGGATAGCACATGCCTTGGGGTGGGGGAATCTAGAAAAATAATACTGAGGTGACTTGTCCCATGGACATTCTACTCTATTGTAGCTCTTATTTCCACGTAGTGGTCATTTACAGAGATGTTGGGAATTTTAAGGATGGTTAAAAAAAAATTTCAACAACAGGTCATCATTGCATGACAAATTCTTAACTTCTGTGCATGTGTTTTTGATTTAAATTCTTTCTGTTTTCCTTCCTGAAGCAAGGTGTGCAAATATGTTGAGAATTTAATCCACCACAGCTTTTACATATCAAAAAAAGATTTTATGAATCAAGCAGAAATGTGTATTTCATCATTATATACTGAACTTAAATGCATTTAGAACTTTGTACTTAAAACGGGAGTCAAGTCAGGGAAATTCTTTATTTGACAGCACAGAGCAGCAGAAATAATTCAAAGACCACATGACTGATATTCAGGAAGAATCACTCGAATGAGCATATTGTATCCCAAAATCTCATATTTTGACTTTAATGCCA